TCGTCGGCGCGCATGTCGGGCCGAGGCCCGCCCGCGCCAGGAGGCACAGGAGAACCGGAACGGCCTTCATCCCATCTCGTGCGTCGTTTCACCACAGTTTATTAAGAACAGTCGCCAGTTTTTTTAGGGGCCCCAGCACGACGGTCCGGCCCCGGGACGGGGGCCGGGGACGGCGGGCACGGGGGTTCCGGCACGGTAAATGCGCTCCCGGCACGCGGCCCGGCACGGGCCCGGCACGCGGCACGGGGCCCCGGGCACGGGCCGGGCACGGGCCGGGGACGTGGCCCACATGAGTGGCCGGCGCGGCACGCACCGTCGCGCAGGGGCCCCTTTTCTTATCACCACACGTCGCCCCGACGCCTACGCCCTTTACATCACGACACAGCAGGACTCGTCGGGCGGCGGGTCGTAGAAGTGGCCCTCGAAGCCCGCGTCGTGCTGGCCGTGCTTGACGACGGACACGGGCAGCGCGGGCCGCCGGTGCTTCTTCTCGTAGGCGGCCGTCGCCGTGATCGCGCGCGCGCTCTCCGCCCTGGCGTCCGCGCCGATGTAGACGTAGAGGTGGAAGCCCGTGTCGAGGTACGTGGCGGCGTCGGCCGCGAGGGCCGACCGCGCGATCCGCAGGCCCTCGCCGACGGGGAGCTGGACCGTGGCCGCGTCGGCGACGTGGCGGAAGCCCGACGCCGTGACGCGGTACAGCTTGGGCACGAAGGCCTTGACCGCGCCGTCCTTGTCGTCGGCGTCCCGCACCTCGACGCTCTTCGTGAGGATGCCGAGGACCTTGACCGTGCCGGGCAGGAAGGCCCAGAACTCCGGCGCGGCGGACTCGGGCGCGGCTTCGTCGACGACGACGAGCTTCGCCTTGGGCGCGAGGTCCCGCGCGACCTCGCCGGCCTTGAGCCGCTCGTCCTTGTTCGACGCGGACCCGTTCCACTGCCAGACCGAGCCGTCGCCCGCGTGGAGCACGAAGCAGTCGCCGCTGTTCAGCGAGTCGCGGCGCAGGTCGACCTGCCTGAGCTCGAGCGCGTGGCGCGTGCCCTTGACGCGGTAGAGCAGCGGCGCCGCCGCCGAGGCCTCGACGTGGCGGAAGCCCGACTCGACGCCGCCCCGGAGCACGCGGAGCTGGCCGCAGAAGAGCGCCGCGAAGCCCGCGCTCTCCCGGCCCTGCGTCTCGCGGTGCTGCTTGGCCGCGCCGCCGAGCAGGTCGTCGAGCTCGACCATCTTGTACGCGGCCGTGCCGTACTCGTCGGCCGTCGACTCGTCGCCGATCCAGATGTGGACGTCGTGCGCGAGCCTGTCGCTCTTCGGGTCCGGCCGGAACGTGCGGAGCACGACGTAGCTGTCGCCCGCGTGGAAGCTGCCGTACTGGCGCGCCGGCCACGGCACGACGCGGAACTGCTCGATGCGCCAGACGCGCACCTCGACCTTCTCGCCGACGTGGCGCCACTGCGCCTCCCCCGACGCCGCGGCGGCGCGGATCTTCTTGTCGAGGTCGCTGCCGATGCCGGCGACGTTCGTCTCCTTCCAGTTGATTTTCTTCGGCTTCTGCATCGTCGACCGGCGGCGAACTCGTAGGTGGCGGTCGTCGACCGGCGGCGACTCGCAAGTGGCGGTGCAATTGGCAGCGGTGCGAGAGCCGCGGAAGCTGAGGCACCTCTTCACTTGTTGACATCAACAACTTGTCGATAGCATATCTCTCGATCTCGATTGTTGGGTGACCGCCGAGGCAGCCCCGCGTGTCGGTCGACTTCACCGGAGGCCGTCGGTCGCCCGGTTCGCGCGGGTCGGTCGACGATGGACACGACGGACGACGCGCTGATCTCGACGATGCGCGAGGACCGGGCGCAGCAGCGGCGCCTCGCCGGCGCGCGGCGCCTGACCATGCTCGTGGGCACGGCCTTCGGCATGGCCATGCTCATCGCCGCGGGCCTGCGGAGCCGCGAGGTCGGCGACGCGACGAACTTCCTGAGCTTCCCCGCCTACGGGTCCAAGTCCAAGGCGGCGGACGTCGACGACGCGAGCCCCGCGTCGGACGACGCGGTCGCCGTCGCCGCGAGCTCGTCGTCGGTGACGGAGGTCGTGCTCACGTACGAGGACTTCATCGAGAACAGCGACGTCAAGAAGTACCTCGAGGACGACAAGGGCCTGGACCTGAGCACGGCGTCCGTGGACACGCTCCTCAAGTACGTGCCGCACCGGCTCGTCGTCGAGATCGACCTCGACCTCATCAAGGGCGACGTCGGCGAGGAGGCGACGGAGGGCTTCATCGCCTTCAACCTCATCCAGATGAACGACAGCGGCGACAAGTACACGGGCTCCCTCTTCACGATCCTCAAGTACTCGACGGGCGAGATCGCGCACGTCTACCCGACGTACGCGGCCGAGGACGACATGCACTTCTGCGGCCTCAAGCTCAAGGACTCGTCGACCTTCGTCCTCGCGGGCAACACGGGCACGTCCGAGCGCGGGCCCAAGTACACGCTCGACTGGAAGAGCGGCGACTTCACGCTCCTCGCGGACGGCACGGAGGAGAACTGCCACGACATCCAGTGGTCCTACGAGGGCCGGAATCTGTGGCAGCCGGGGTCGGACCTCAACGTCGTCGAGACCAAGGTGTCCAACGGCGACACGGTGTCGTCCGTGGCCATGGCGGGCTACGCGTCCGACATCAACCACGTGGGCCTGCTGTCGCAGGACTCCGTGACCGTCGCGTCGTCGCGGATGACGAACGCGATCATCAAGGCCCACGTCGAGACGTCGGAGATCGTCTGGGTCGCCGGCGGCGTCAACGGCACCATGGCCATCGAGACGCTGAGCGGCGAGACGCTCGCGGCGGGCGAGTCGCTCTACTACGGCCAGCACAACGCGGAGTACTTTGGCGAGGACGAGTACATGATGTTCGACAACAACTACGACCAGGACGCCGCGTCGCGCCTGCTCATCATCTCCATCGACGAGGACGCGGAGACGATCACGGAGGAGTGGCAGTACGTCTTCGAGGAGTACCCCTGGGGCTACAGCCCCTTCTTCGGCGACAACGACCGCATGATCGGCGGCAACCTGCTCGGCACCTTCTGGCCCCTGACCCTGTCGGGCTCGGACTACGAGGACGTGCGCTACGAGGCCAAGGTCGTCGAGGTCGTCCGCGAGACCAAGGACGTCGCGTGGTCGCTCGAGGTCTACGGCCAGCAGGAGTGCGAGGACAAGGAGTGCGAGCGCAGCAACAACGTCGGCTGGAAGATGTACTCCGCCGAGCGCTTCTTCGTCGCGCCCGTCGTCTACAACGTGACCTGCGGCTCGGGGTCGCTCTCGTTTACGACCCAGAACAACTTCAAGCAGCTCAACCCCTACGACGGCACCTACGTCCTCGCCGACAAGTCCTCCGGCGACACCGTCGCGTCGGGCGACCTCACCTGGCTGCCCCACTGGCGCGCGACGGACCTCGTCGGCATCACCTTCGACTCCGACGGCGAGACGTCCAAGACGCTCACCGTGACGAACCAGTTCGGCGACGAGACCGTCAAGGACATCACCTGCTGAGCGCCCGTCGCCCGACCCGCCGCGTCGACCACCCCGCCCGCGCGCGGCTTCCCCGCCGCCCACCCCGTCCTCTAACGAACTTCTTTCTTATAAACGGCGCGGGCCCGACTTGCTGTGTACCTTGAAGACATCTTGAAGCCTGATAATTGCGAACTCCGGCCTCGTGCTCCGCCACACAGACAAGAGCTTCGGCGCATCGTGTCCGCCGCCTCTCGACGTCGTCGACCGCCCGCGAGCTGCAGCGCGCGCCCATGTTCGTCGCCACGCGCCTGCGCCGCGCCGTGCGCGCCGCGCACGACAGCGGCAACCTCTACGTCGGCCTCGGCGCCGCGGGCCTCGTCGCCTCCGGCGGCCTCGCCTACCGGGAGTGGCGCGAGGACCAGCGGCTCGAGGCCATGCGCGAGATCCGCGCGCAGATCCGCGACCTGAAGAAGGACCAGGACGAGAAGCTGCGGGCGAAGCGCGAGGGCGCGCGGTTCAGCGACCGCAAGGTGCTTTTCACGGCGACGATCAATCGACGGGTGCACGCGGCCATCGGCTTCGACGGCCCGCTCGCGCTGACGCAGGTCACGGCGGGCCAACCCGTCGCCGTGCTCGAGGTCGACATCGGCCCCGAGGGCGGCTACCACGAGTGCCGCAACGAGTTCGGCGAGGGCCTCTACCCGAAGGCCTACATCACGCCCGACGACGCGACGGCCTACGACGCCACGGCCGCGGGCGACGGCGCGAGCTCGAAGCACGTATGCTAGCGCGCGCCGCCGTGTCATATGCACATGGGTTAGCCCGGGCGGTCAGACGAAGAGGCCGCAGGAGGACCGGTGGAAGAACGCGTCGTCGCCGTCGCCGCCGTCGCCGCTGTCGACGCGGCGGGCCTTCGGCCAGCTCGGCGGCCGGCGCCCCGCGTGCTTGCGCAGGAGGCGGAGCGGGCTCCGGCGGCGGTCGAAGAGGGCGACGCTGCCGTGGACGACGTCGCCGCGGCCGCTCGTGACGCTGCGGGCCCGGCGGCCCGCGAGCGCCGGCGGCGCGACGACGTCCGTGACGACGATCTCGACGTGGACGCGGTGGAGCGCGGCCCGCGCGCGCGCGTGCGCGGCGCGCGCGAGCCGGTAGGCGCCCCGGAGCGTCGTCGGCGCGCCGCCCCGGCGCGCCTTGGCGACGGCGTGCCAGCCGCGGTGCTCGCCCGGCCCCTGGCCCCGCAGGAGCTTGCGCGCGTCGATGACGCACCGGCCCGTCTCGTCGTCCGCGTACTCCGCGAGGCACACGGTGACGTCGATGCGGCCGTCCGCGGGCACGACGAGCTCCATCTTCGCGTGGTCGCCCCACCTCGGGGCACCGCAGCGCGGGACCTTGCGCGTCTTGCCGACCCATTCGTTGTTGACCAGGACCTTGGCGTACGTCGACGCGTCGTGCGGGAGGCCGGCCGCGCGCGCGACGCGGACGACGACGCGCTGGCGGCCGGCCGGCGGCGGCGCCGCGGGCCGCGCGGACGCGGCCTTGGCCGCGCGGCCCAGGGACGCCAGGCGCGTCGTCGACCGGGGGCTCAGGGCCGGGCTCGCCGCCGGCTCGGCGCCGTCGTCGGTGGGGGCCGCCAACTGCTTCGCCGCGCTTGTTCGGCTGCCCATGAGGCGCTTTGCCATGAAGAGTGAAGCCGCGCGCAGCTTGGTGCGTTGCGTCGAGCGGGGGCTGCGGGCGCTGGGCATGGTCGCTTTGCTCTCGGCGCGTGCTTCGCGCAGACGAGTGGTTGTTTTGCTCTCGGCGTGTGCTTCGCGCACGACGATTGTTTCGATCGGGCAGAAGTAGACTTCCTCTGATTTTATTGGCAGCCCCGCTCTGAGTCTGGGACATTGAAGTCTTCATTCATCTATTCAAGAATGATACCGCGCTAGCTTATGGGGCAGCTCGTCTGCGCGCGCGGCCGATCCGTAGGAGCGGTGCCCGGCCCCGACGCCGCGGCGGCTATCATGCGACACGAGCGCTAGGCATGCGACACCACCGCTAGGCCATGTCGCTCCCGCTCATCTACTCGACGCTGCGCGAGTCGGAGACGCGGCGCAAGCGCGGCGCGAGGCGGGCGCCGTCGGGCCGCCTCGACGGGCTCGGGAGCTCGCGGTCGCTCTGCGAGAGCGGGAGCGCGCCGTCCCTGTTCCGCGCGGCCGAAAGCTTCACGGCGCCGCGGCGGCGGCGCCGGCCGTCGCCGCCGCGCGCGGCCGCGGCCGCGCCGTCGCTCGCGGCCGCGGCCGCGCGGCCGCCGCGGTCGCCGCCGGCGCCGCCCGCGGACCCCTGGGCGTCCCCGGCGCCGGAGCGGTCGCGCGTGCGCAAGCTCGGCGCGCGTAG